ATGTTTGGACACTGATATTTTCTTCAGCTGGGTTTTTCTTAATGTAAGTCAACAAACCAATCTGGAAGCAAACATGTTGCTTGTGTTTGGGAACCAAACAGAAGTGATGTGTAATGGGAAGACTTCAGGAAAACCTCAGGTGGGTATGTGTGCGGTGGTGTGTGTGCCAGGGGGACCCCTCAACCGCTGAGAAACGGGAAGAAGGTCAGTGAGCACCAACCACACTGCGATGGAGAAGCCCTCAGAGCACTCCACGGGGCTCCCTGGAGCCGGCAGGGTAATGTCAGCTTCCACGGAGCAGCAGGTTCTTCTTGCCCCACCGCACCAGAGTTCATGACGATGACCACCTGGAAACTCCCTTCTGCGTCCTCAGCCCACAGCGACACCTCAGAGTCAAGCACCCACGTCCAGAACAGGTACCATTCCCCACGACCCGCCAGTGACCCAGGAGGGCAGCTCAGAAACAAGGTGTTCAGGAGGGCCTTTGAAGGCACCCAATACCAACGTCACATTTTGCAGGATCAATCTTAACTACTGTCCATGTGGAATTTTTTCCTGTGGCTTTTTCAATGGAAAAAAACATTAATGAGAAACTTGAAAGGCTTGCTAACGACATCCTTCCGTCAGTCAGGGCGCCATCAGGCTGGGCTCTGCCTCAATTCACACCTTGCTGTCCAGCCCAGCGTCTCCGTCCTACGCCGTCATCCCTCCGCCCGCCCAGCACAGATCCTATCGGAGCCGACCTGGGTGATGGAGGCCAGACGCCCTCCGTCTGTCGGCAGCTGGAGCCACGGGGTCCGAGGACTCCGGACGGCTGCCCTCAGTCACTCAGAGACGCAAAGGTACCTGCAGTTTCTCCAGCTCTGGGCCTGGCTTTCAACTGCCACCCATTCCTTCAGACAGACACACACACACACAGACGGGGACTGCCTGGTAGAGTCCCCTTTAAATCTCAACGTCTTTCAAACTGATAACAGGTCAAATTGATGTGAACTTCAGCTGCCTGAGCACACACTTTCGATCAAACGCCCATGAACGAGAAAAGGAAAACCCCGTATGTGCCGAGGGAGGCCAAACACAGCTACACCCCCACCGAGGGCCCACCTGCCCCTCTCTAGGACAGCAGCAAACGGGGCCCGCGAAAGCCCGGGGACATCACAGCGCTTGGAGACCCGGGAAAGTTCAGTTTCCTGATTGGTCTTCTGGGAAAACTTTTTGAGTAAAATAAAAAAACTCTTTTTTGCCTGTGTGTCCCACATTAAGCCAATTTATTTATCACTTCAGAGTCCTCCTCTACGCAGCTTGAAACCAAAACAGCACTAAGATCTTTGGCCAGCTCTGAAGTGAAAGGAACAATCTTCACATTGATTCAGCCGTGACGTCCCGCCCGTTCCAACGGTGGCGGAGGTTTGAGCTGGCACTGCTGCCCGTGGTCACGGACGTGGGCACGCCAACAGCCAAGGGGGGCCATTCGGGTGCCGGGGAGGTGGGAGGAGACAGCCCACAGTGCCGCATGCCCTGCCCTGGGAGGGCCACATCAGGGGTAACAACGAGACCTGTGGACGCGTTTCTGCGAGGACCCCACGTTCCCGCAGGAACTGTACAGTGTGGTTCCTCTGGAAACAGGACATAAACCTCACAGGAATCCCACTGGGTCGCGCCCCCACTTACGTTTTTAAGCAACCTCCTTGTACAGGTTTTTATTCTCATACTGCAGTTTTAAAGGAAATACATTCTGGGATAACACTGTTGTTCACAAAAGGGCTCAGAAACAAAAAACGATGGTTTCAATACTAACATACCTACACTGGACAGGTATGGCCACTCGAGAAAGCAGATTCTGGGTAACCAAACAGTATGTAGGGAGTGGGGACCGTGGAAGAGAGGGATGTGAACCTAAAGATATTTGAGTTAGAAATGACTTGTCTCTGGCAAATGACTGAGCCACACGAGGGTGGTCCAGCAACTGTTTCTGCTGGGTAAGAAGTGGAGTCGAATTAAAAATCCCAATTAAGTTAACTACAAGGGGAGCCCGCTCACTTCCTCAGAAACACACCCTGCCTGCAACCTTTGTATCTACACTTGCAAAATAACAAGCCGTCTGAGTTCCACAACTCTGCAAGCAAGACTTGTTTCAGACTTCCTCATCAGCCTCTGCTGGCACCAGGACATCTCGAGTTCGTACAATCATACTTTTCTTCTTTGGGCATAAAGAAGCCCAACTGTGCTGTACTGAACCACTCGATGCAGCCACAGGACACGGCGAACGAGGAGGGTTCACTTGACACTTTTGCTCCTAACGGGAAAAGGGTCTGGAGAAGAACACCACTCTTCGCAAACGTAGCCCCGTGTGTGGCCAAGGGCATCTATTTCATTACAAATGTGGTTCCACATAAACAAACATTTTTTCTGCATCTTTAATTATCTTGGTCTCTGGACATGGGTGAGCACAGCATGGCTGGCCCGTGGGTCCCCACGTCAGTGTTCACAGCATCACACGCTGTCTGGACGGGGACATCCGTTCGGCGAGGGTGAGCCGGGGTGAGGCCAAAGAACACAGCTTTCCAGTTTCGACGTTTCTTTTTATTTGGAAAATATTTTTGTATTTCTTTGTGCTTTTCCTTTTCCTCTTTTTCACAAACCATGCAGCAACCTCACGTGCAGCGGGTCCAGGTGGCCGGCGCTGGCTTTTCCCGTGGGCCTCTGCAGGGCTCGTCCTTGGAGCAGGACACGGCCACGCCAGTCGGAGGGGCTGCTGCCACTGTTGGTGGGACCTCGGGGTGTACATCAGGCCTGTTCTGACAGGGCCAAGGACACCCTGGGAGACAGAAAACACAACACGGTGTCCTGCACCCACGGCACAGCCCCAAACTGGTGGTGCCAGGCCGTGCAGAGCCGCAGGGTCACCTGCGACGGCTTGGATGGGCAGGTCCCTGGCTGCACGTGGCTGAGCCTGCTGGGGCTCAGCCCTCAGCGGCTGCTCTCACATGGCTGTTCAGCCCGGGACCCTCCCTCGGAGCCCGCCTGGGGATCTGGAGATCACGGCGGGAGGCTCCATGGAGTAAGGGACCCCACACCCTCCTGGCCCAGGAGCCGGCCTGTGCGCAGAGCGTGCAGGCAGCATGAGACAGCTGGAGCATCGTCAGGGTCTGACAGCACTGCAGAGAAGCCTGCTGACCTGCCAGCAGCCCCGATGGCACCACGTGCTACGTGGGACTGTCACAAGCTGACGGGAGAGTTCCACCCTGTCGCCCGTTTTCATATCCATCCTTAAGCAGAAGTGTGGCTGGGGGCCTCTCAACCGCAACCTAGAGCACTGCTAGGGCGCCCTCTATTGGAAAGCACTCACGAATCGACACCCAGGCCAGCAGGGCCGGAAGCTGCTGGCTTTGAGAACCACAATTTTCTGCCGTTCAGGGCAGAGAAAGGCACAGTGTGATGACTCTTGGCGACCGTCAATTATTGGAGTGAAGCATTTTCCTTGGAGAACTTAGAGCACAACCACCTTCACAGCCCCGAATGCAAGTGCACCCAGGATCACCCCACTTGTCTTCCCAACGTGTCGGAAACACAGACACGGGCCCCTCCACTCCCAGCTGAGATGCAAAGGACAGCAGCTTCCAGTTCTGGAAGCTCGCCGTGGGGCACGGAATGCTTGCAGCAACCGAGAGGCTCGATGGAGGAGGTGGCTCAGGGGTCAGCCCCAAACCAGACGTCCATGCAGTCTGTTGTGCGAGTATGACTCAGCTTGCTTCAAAACCAAAGTACCGAGAAAGACTGAAATCAGAAGAGAATGGGGTAATGGTCACTTATTTTCGAGAGAAAAAAATCCAAAATTAATTTGGCTGATATAATAAATCACAAATTGGTGAGAAAAGCCTCAAGTTTGTTTACGTTAGGTACCTGTGCTTTTGCGGGTGTTAAGCTAATAGGAAATATAAGATATATCCACGCTGTCCGCATTGTAAGGCTGTATTTTCATCTGGGTTTCTGGTGACATACACAAACCACTTGAGCTTCCTGGCTGTGGTTTACACTGTCACAGGAACCCTTGACAAAAGTTCTGCTGAACAGCTGAGCATAGTTTATTTTCTCCATACATCATATGCTCTATTTTATTTATCCACATGCATAGCTACAAGTTCCCCAACTGCTTTTTGGATACAGTTAATTATAAGGCTAAAGTGACAACATGATAATGAAGTATCAGACTCTGGTGCACGGCAGATGTTGGAAATCTTCTCTACAGCCATCAGCGATGTGAGCTGACCCACCTTCGTGTGTGACCTCAGACCTCTAGGCTCGACCTTGGGGTGCTGGGCAAGAGAGGCTGGCGTCCCTCATCACCTTCTGTCCAGAGCGTGCTAAGGCCCGAAGTGACAAGACAGGCTGGGGCCTGGGGCGAGACTCCATCACTCAGAAAGGTGCCACTTCAACCAAATCCATGCCCAAAGAGTGGTTTATTTTCCCAAATCATTTTGGCAAGTGGTTCTTTTCTATTCAACTGCTATAGATCAAAAATGGGTGCGTCTTGCACTAGCTTTTCTGGCAGTTGAAAAACAAAGCTAGAAAACCTTAATAAGTACCTATTTCCATGGCCTGTTCCCTTCCTTCTGCAGGGCCTTAGTGCGAAACACTGTCCCAACACTTCACCAGCCGAGAAGGGAAGGTGGGGGCCCCGCAGGAGCGGGGACACACACGACTGCAGTCTGGATAGGCCTGCACAGGGTCTGGGGCCCTGGTGGGCTGTAGCTGGCTCTGGGCACAGCCACGGGGTCCAAGGCAGCCAGCTGTTCCCCGTGGGCACCAGATGCTGCCTCCTTCCAGGGTAGTCGCCCTCACATTTCCAGGCCACCCTCGCCCAGCCATGTTTTAATAGACATTAGAAATGGAACAATAACAGCATGAGAGGAGAGAATAAACCACACACACCACTGCCAGTCTTCTGAACTCACTCTGCTGTAAAATGTAAAAACAAGAAAGGGCAGACACACCACGTCCCCCAGGACATGTCCGGCTCTTTTAATATAGCAGTGACACCATGTATCCCACTTCCGACGCACTATTACATTTATATGTCACTCAAATATTTACTCCTGCTACAAATACTCAATTTCTGCCAGCAGCCTGGGAGCTGGTGGTGCCACCCAGTGCCCCGCGCCAGGATCTGGCCAGACGGGAGCCCCCTCCACGGCTCGGCCTCTCCACCAGGCTGCCTTCGTGGGCCAGAAGCCATTCCTTCACGCCCAGTCCTCCGGAGTAGTTGCCCACGGCTCCGCTGCTGCAGACCACTCTGTGGCACGGGATGAGGATGGGGACCTGGAAAACAGGGAGGCATCCACCGTCAGTCTGGGCTCCAGGCCGGTGAAGCCTTGGGGGTCAAGAACTAGGCCCCTGACTATAACTGATCCAGGCCTACCACACGGGGCCAGGGGCAGGTTGTGGGCAAGGGATGGGCTGGGTGCAGGCCCCGAGTCAGCTGTCTCTCAGCACCACTCACCCCTGGGTCTCTGAGGGTCTCGGCATGGCCGAGGCGGTGGTGGTGAGGGGACGGGGACGAGACACAATGCCCTGAGGTGAATGTGGGGCATCTTCCATTGAACCCCTTTATGCCAAGAATTGGGAGGAGAACATCGTTTGGTAAATAATTTATAATGTACACTTACAACGTTTAAAATGACATTTCCAAGTTATGGGGTGGTATGTAAAATTCTCAAACATTTCCGAGAAATAACAGAGGAGACTGTACTAGTGCAGGCCACTTTACCCAGGGGCTGGCAGAGGGTGGCTGTGGGCCCTGCAGTCCACACCTGTTTGTGTAAATAAGGGTTTATTGGAACGGCCATGCCCATTTGGTACACACTGTCTGTGGCTGCTTTTGCAAAGCCTAAAACGTTTACTACCCGGCCCCATATAGGAAAGTTGTGGCCCTTGCTTTACACTACACTCGCACCTTGGAGATACCTGTTTCCCTCCTCAGTCTCCGGACACTCAGAAAGTCTGAGAAGCTCCAGCTCCCAGCTGTCCCCATCCCCGGATACCTGGGCTGCGTCTGCCGGCCAGCTCTTCCACTGACCCTAGCCAGGACTCCCAGGCCCGGGGCCATATTACCCTCATTTTTCCCACAGTGCACCAGGAGCCTCTCCTCAGACAGTTTGTTGCATCCCCCGCCCTCCCCAAACAGCCTTTCACCTCTGGAGACAATCCGAGTAGTTAGGTGCGTGCTTTAATCAACAGAGCGACTTCACTAAAAGTGAGGCCACTTTATAATGAAAACAAACCAAACACAATCCTAGGAAGACAAGTTGACTGTCAAAGGGCTCCACTCTGGACCCCGGGCAGTGATGGCTGTCTGGGTACCCATCTGCACCGAGAAGTACCAGGAAGCACAGGCGTAGCTGGGCTCTGTCCACCCAGGGCCATCGCCAAACCCTCCCAGCCGAACTCACCTGCAGCTCAAAATGCTGCCGTCCTAGTCCCGGAGGAGGGGCAGGGCTGGCCCTCAGCCTTGGAGAAGGAGGGCACAGGAGCAGAGAGGCGGGGCGCCCTCCTGGACACTAACGTCCCAAGGACAGGGCCCTCCCCCAGCACGTTCTTGCCTTGCCTGGAGCCGGTACAATGCAGATGTGTGCATGTCTGATAGTCCACTTCTAAGATGGGCCGCTCACAGGTGCTCACCCGAGTGAGGGTCACCGTCAGGTGGCTGGCCGTTACTCCCACAGCCACACACAGGCCTACAATCCTGCCTAGCCACCTGCTCTTTGCAGCCAATCCCACCAAGGGAGGGGACTCCTGCTCTCTCCAGAAGTGGGGCAGGCGCATTCTCAGCAGTAGTCCCCAGGGGAACGCCCCGGTCCTCTTGCTGCTGGCCCTGCTATGTAGACAGGAGCTCCAGGGATGCCTCCTGGTAGGCCTGCTCAGTGTCTGCTCCCAGCACAGGAAGTCCACTGTCCGGCTAGGGCTCTGACAGCTACATGCAGAGGTGGGCACAGTGGCCCTTACCTCTCGTTTCCACGGGGAGGGACGTTGACTGGAAGCAGAGACACTCCTGGCCTTGTCCACCCCACCCTCCACCCTCGGCCCTGAGGGGAGGAAGACTCACTGACCAGCCATCCTGGGAGGAGAGGATGAGAACGCCTAGCTCAGCATCATGCAGGGTGCTGCAAGGGGACCTGCCTGTCCCACGGCATAGGGCAGCCTGATGGCTTTTGAGATACGGTCAGCACCCACCCTGCTGGGACTGGTGACAGGATAGGGGGTCCAATTCCAGTGGGAATTCCTGGGAAGCCTGCCATGGCCATGCCACCTCTCCAGTCTGGCTTTTATCCTAAAAAGCTAATATTTTGATGTCCTTGATCCATTTCTCAGCTGGCTCAGAATATGGGAGGAAAAGAAACGGATGTAATTTATGGCCTCTTAAAACCACAGTGGACAGGAGTGTCTCAGCTTGTTGACCTCTCTCTCCGGCAGCCAGTGGACACAGCTCAGAGCACACCAGTATGCCAGAGATAGCCACACGCCTGGGGGCCACGAAGCACCAGGGATGTCTCCCATGTTCCCACAGCAGGGCCTCTGAGGGATCAATGGTCATTTTGCTTAAAGATCCCAACAAGCAGCTACTCAGAACCCGAGGAGAGCCGCCCTCGGGAGGGTCTTCCCAGGAGGGAATGTGGGTGGGGTATCCGCAGAGTTCAAACTTCTCCTGAGGAAGGGTCGGCCCGCGAGTCCCGGGGAAAACAGCCTTCATCCCTAAGTTGCTCCATCTTGACTTGGGGGAAGAGGCGGGGTGGTCAGTCATTGAAGGCCCAGGACAGGCTGAGGTGACAGGTGTCATCATTGTGCAAAACATCCCAGTGACCGCTTCCACAAAGAATGTAATCGCCAGCGACCACAACTACAGGAACCAGGGCAGGTTCTGGAGACGGGGGCCGGGAATACAGGCAGATCCTCCGCAGACCCCACATGTGGAAGGTGCACGGGAGGCATCCAGGACCTCTCCGTGCCCACCTCCATGCCGCCTGCATCCTGCAGCTCTGCGCCTGCCCTCTCTGCTCCCCTGTGCCCCTCTCAGAGCACTCATACACGGCTGCCCTGCTCCAGTGTTCCCGCTGGTCCTCGAAGGGTGAAGATTTCTCAGACTACATGGTGTATTGTTCCAAGTCCCGTCCACCTCCACTCAGCCTACAGCTCAACAGAGAAGACCTGCACCCCAACCCCCATCCTCCACCTGCAAAGAGACCACTGGACAGAGTGACCAGCCATGGGTCCAGTGCGTTTCTAGAGGAAGTGGCTGTGCACACGCACCTGGATCTCCGCCCACGGTATCCAGGCACCCTCTGGGCACTCGTCCATCTCGGCTTGCAGCACAAACCCACTGCCAGCAATGCTCCCTCTGTGGGCCCTGAGCTGCGCCTGTCCCTGGGCAGATGGGCACGATCCCCAGTCCTGTCCTGGATGTGGTGGTCAGTCACCCCACCAGGGAGAGCGTGCTCTGTGCCCAACACATCATGACCTCATATCCTCCAACAAGCCCTAGGCCAGGCACTATCAACTTCGGTGGCATTAAGTCTCTTGCCTAAGTTCACAAGGCTATTTAGAGGCAAAGAAGGGATTCTAGCCCAGCGGAAGCAGAACCCACCCCCCACACTCCTGGCCGCTCTTCGACCTGCCCCCGATGAAGACTGCTGGGCGGGCCTGGGGGTGCTGGCCAGCCCTGGCAGATAGCTTGGCTTGGGGAGGTAGGAACTTGACTTCCCCCATGACACACTGGCCCCGATTTTGACTAGAAGTTTGGGTTGCCGTGGTAACGTGTGTAGTCTCAGGGCCTTCGTTCCAGCAATGACCAGCAGTGTGAGGAAAGAGCTGGCTTTCTTTTCCGTGTAGTTTAACAGAGTGAAAAGCAATAAACTGCCAAGTCCCACAAGCAGCATGAAATTCCCATCCTCTTGGAAGGAGTCACAGAAAATTTTAAGAATAGAACATTTACTCCGATTGAGGGTTTTTATAAAATACAATAATCATGTTAATAACTGCCATGAGGACATGATTAGATAATACACAATTCAAGTTTTTGACTGATAAAGAGGGAGACATTTAATTCAATTCAGTTTTACAAACATTTAGGCCCCAGTTCAATCTTCCTTCCTAACAGCAGACTTCACAAGTGAGCTATGATTCTCTTCCCTCTCTCCGTCCCAACAAGCTGTGAAATTACAAAAGTGCATAATATGAACCCTCTTTCTCTCTTTCTATATGTGATGCAGATAAGAGCAGTGCAGGCATGCAATAGCAATTGTAATGGTAGCTATGCCTCGTCCTCATCTTGTGTATGCAGGGATGGAGGACAGGTGCCTTACCAAATATGCACTACTTTTACTCCAGAAATGTGAAACACTGCTTCTGTTTGTGTTAGTTTTGGTGGTAGGTTTCAGACTATTAAAATAATGAAACCTGCTAAAATTTATTAGGGCCCTATGGACATTTCAAAGGATCCGTACCCTCTATGCCCTCTCTTTTAAAGCCTGTGCTGCATAAAACGTAATTTTTATCAATAACCAAGCAGCTCATAATATCACAGCTGCATTGAAATCTTCATGCTGTGAAATCTAATTCATCCAATACGCGAATCCATCACTTACCCAGACCCTTTCTCAAATGCTATAAAACTTCCAAACCCATAGATTTGTCTCCAACAAAAACAACATGAAGGGGCCTTTCAATCAATAATGGAATCCCTCTGATTCTGGTGCTGGCTGCATATTTTCTCCACCTTCGCCTTTGTTCTTGGGGGTAGCAGCCCACAAGGGAAGGCGCTTGTTTTCACTCGCGGCCTCATCAATACCGAAATCCTGGTGAACAAGTGACACCGAGAAGCTGTAATCAATAGCTCCCTGTGCGTTTTCTTCTTCTGGTCAAATGGTTCAGCCCCACTGACAGCTCTGACACTTAGAACATGATGCTAAATCTTTATCAACAGCCATCTGGGTGACTGGCAGAACAAGACTCGGGGGGTCATTAACGCTCATGGCAATCTGTGAATAAACTAACTCCTCAGGAATGCGTTTATTTAGAAAAAGGTGGGGAAATGCTCTGCGCAAGTATTGATTGCCTTTGAACTGCATTTAGCAAGTTCTGTCTGAGAATGAAGAGGAAGGGTGCTTTGTGAGGAGGGCCGTGAGGCATCTTCAATCTGATCTACCAGAAAACTGACCATCCTCCATGCTGGGTGGGGGAGAGAGCCTTCCAGAAGGCTGCCAAACCATCTTACCTGGGCTAGTGAGTCTTTCCTGAAAAACTTCGGAAAAATCAAACGCCTAGGATGGGATGAAACTCCCACACCGTGAAAACTATCCCTTACTCTGGCGGGGGAAGAGAAACCCACGCCAACAGCAAATGCTGTAATATGAACCAGCATGTGTTCATGTTTATTGCAAGCCACCTAAGGAATTAATGCACAATGAGCTTTATGGTGTTTTGCAACATTCCAAATCCATTTTTCACTTTCTTCCTTGAGATGCACAACTGCTCTGTTCAGCCTGAACAGAGATGTTTTCAATGAGTAAGTCTCAATGATGCGCTATGGATGCTGGAGCTGATGTGTGCAGCTCTGCGGCTGGGGCCCCTGCTCTCAGCACCAAGGAAAGGGGGCACCCACATGGGATGTCAACGTCAGTCATGTCCAGTACCTGACCAGTGCCCCTTTCTCCCTCAGGTTCCCGGGTCACCTTTTAGATTCCACCAATCCATCCTCAGGAGGTTTTTTATCAACTTAACGGGAACCTTTGAGGACTGCAGAGCTCCCTGTCAGCTCAACTGCAGTGACCTACACATCCGAGGTTTTTCTTGCAGAGGCACCTCGAGCATGTCCGCTCCAGAACTGGAGGCACTGCTCAGTCGCAGCACCTTTGCAACCTCCTCAAGTTGAGGGTCCCCACATGAGTTATGTGCAGTGCCCAACCACAGAAGGGCATCTGTGGAAAGGCCATGGAGGGCTCACCGCCACCCCAACTGCCTTTGGCACAGGAGGGTGCAGAGAAGAGAGGGCAAGGCCCACATAATCCTCCTGCCCAAGTGTGTCCTCACTGCCGCTCTGGGCTTTGGCTTGCAATGGGGAAGTCAATACATGGAGTTTATGGACATCAGTTTTTTAAGTCCTGGGAGATCCTATTTTATAAATTTCAGTGACTGAGGCCATATCTGAACAGAGACATTCTTACAGATGAATAGGAGAAGAGAGTCACGCTGGCTGGAGAACAATAAGCGTTTCTGAATAATGCCACAAGTGCTATTTAAACAGGGACAGCATCTCCACTTCAGAGAGGGAGAAACTGCTGGCATCACAAAAGGCAGGGGAGGGGCTACTAATTTGTGTACTTCGGTTAGCAGAGCTTGTTTTTACAAGAGATGGGAGCTGTACACACCGAGGGAGCAAGTGGGGTCAGCACCCATGTCTCTGAGTGCGCACAGGGGATGAAATCAAACCTCAGCGAGGGAGGAGAGCATGAGCAACGCTACCCTGAGGGCATGAGCAGAAACAAGGCCTGAAATATGGATGGAGATCCAAGACAAAGTGAGAATTTCTAGAGAACACATCGCTTCTGCAGCGATGCAGAAGCAGGGCGCAAAAAAACCCATTAGCTTCCACTGTTTTTCTCACAAGGCAGTGAATGGAGCTATGATACCGGTGTCGAGTGGTCTTTTTATCCAGAGCAAAGTCCAACTGCTCAAAACTGAGTTGCAACCTGGGAGAAAATGGTGGCCTTCCAAAGGGAAGATGTAGTTTCAGGCTTTATCGGGAAATGTGAAAAATCACATTCAGAAATTTGATTCAGAATAATCCCACGTGCACTGTAAAAATGAGACAGCGCATAGAGGTGAGTTATTCCAATGACGTAGCTGGGCACACTGCAACTGAAACACAACAGGTGCAAAGCGAAATGCTAACTGGGCCCACGGGCCATCGTCACCGAGAACTCAGGACATGAAGAGACACAGGAGGTGGGTGTGACGTGTGTCCATATCACCCAGTGCTCCTCACCATTTGTGATATTTTAGTACAGCGGAAAACTCTTCTCCAGAGGAGATGTACACCAAGACAGTGCGATCCACTACGAACCTACAAGAGCTGCTTCTGGAAGAGGAACAATGCAGTGTGTGCAAAAGGCTGTGTAACTGCCATTTCCTAGAGCCTGGGCTCTGCCCTTGGGCTGCTGCGAGCCGAACTGGCAGGAGCAGCAGACTGTGGTGTGCAGACGCCCGCATCTCCCTGGTGAGCAGGGATGAAAATAGTTTTGAAAATATACAGCAAAGCCACAGCACGTTTTAAGAAAGTGGGATCTATCTGCTTTAGTAACTTCCCTTCCCATGATGCGACCATCCTATTGGCTCTTCCTGATAGGATGGCCTTCTTCTGTCATATTAGAGACTTTCCTATCACTTTAGGGAAAAACCGTTACTAACGTGATAGCAGGCCCTCGCCAGGCACTGGAGGGGCTAATGAGAGTGGGAATATTCCAGGGGCCTCACGTGGTTGTTGGGGGTCTCCCAGCAGGACCAGCTGCTGTGTGGTTGGGGGTGCCCTTCCTGCCCACATGCAGGGTCCACAGGCCTGCGTGGCCTTGGCCAGGCCCACATCATGGCCTCTCCCCCAATTTGTGCTGACCTCCCTCCTAAGACCCGACGGCCTGCGGCCCGTGTGCAGTGTGACAGGGAGCAAAGGCACCCTCTGACTCCCAGGCACCGGGGGTGCATAGCCACCCCTTGCTGTGGCCCAGCCCTGGCCTCTGGAGAGCATGGCTTCTTGGGGTCCATGAACCTCACTTTCAGCAAAACCTGAATATAGATGCACAGGAGGGACAAGGACACAGAAGAGCTTGGGGACAGACCATCCCCCAGGAAGACACACCCAAATGCGGTGAATTATCCCAGGTCCCAAGGGGCACGGCCTTCATACTCACCTGTCAGATTTCAACCCCCGCTGCTGGTCAGCCCCAGGAGGGCTGGACCTGGTAACAGAGCACAGCCCAGGGAGATGGGTTTGGAGGCCGGCACGTGCATCTTTCCAGAATGTAAGCTCCACGCGGGTGGAGCTCGTGGTCTGTTTTGCTCCCTGCTGGACTCTGGGCACCTGGAAGGGCGTGTAGCACTCACTAGGCACCCAGTTGGCCCAGCTGTTGAATGAACGAATGAATGTCCGCTCACCCCTTCCTCAAGCTTCATCCTCCTCTGTGATCCCGAGACAAGGGGTTTCTGTGGTTCCGACGCATGAGGGGGACTCTGGGTAGTGTATGGGAAGGCTTCCCTACCACCTTCACCAAAAGTGGGGTGTGGGGGGCTACCAGTGCTGCCCACGCCTCTTCCAGAGGCCTCATCACAAATGCTTCCTTTCTTCCCTGCCCATCGCAGCCCAGGCTGCCTCAGAAACACACTTCAATCCAATATTTGACACGTGGCCACTGCGCGCAGTGCCAAGGCCCACCCCCGGACCGCGGCCAGCCTGATACCCATGCTGACAGGAACTTACAGGATTGCTTCTCATTGCTCCTCCCACCGCCCGCGCGGCTTTGGGGTTGCCTGCTAGGGCTGCTAACTGTTGGTAAGAAACCACTTCTCCGAATTTCACAACCTTCAGCAGCTTCCATAACACCTGTCTGGTGAATGAATCTGGAAGGAAGAATGCAGAATGACATTATTTGGACAAACGGCTCCAACGGCTCTGATATAAACAGCTGCCAGTCCTGAAAAGGAAATGCACTGACATAAATAGACGTGTTATACTCAGTTAAAACCAGCCTCCACACACGGTCCTGTCACCATGTCACCTGGCACGGAGGGCTGAGTATGCGGTAGGGCACAGAGCAGGCTGGCCCCTTCGCAGGCATCCCCGATCGTGCATCACAGATTTGCAATTCCCTCCCTTCTTCTCTTGTTCCACGCAGGGCTGCGTGATGCTCTTCCTCTACTTGGGCGCATATAAATTAGCAGGCAGTTCAAGTAATAAGCAGAGAAGGCCTTGCCTGCCCACTGACTTCAAAACCTTTTGTACTGCTGGTTAATTTCCAACTGCAGCTGGGATGCAGGAGGAAGCAGCAGCTATGGGCCGGGCTGGGATATTATGCTAGCTGCCACATCCCACAGTCAACCACACACAACACAGTACACAGGAGCTGGCAGTGACCTGGGCTACAAGCATCTGTAATGAACAGAGCTGCAGAAATAAAATAACTTTATTCCCATTTTAATTGACTAGCCACATCAAATTGTGTTTGCTCTTCATCCTGCTGCAGACATGAAGGGGTGAATGCATGAGAACATTTCCGCCTCTGCCTCCAGGTTTTAGAGCCGCTTCCCAGCGTGAGTTTTCGGGAGAGAAGCCCAGGCACGTGAAGCAGGCAGGTCTGAATCTCTACGTATTGTCTTTCCAAAGGGGATGCACGGCTCGGGAGCACTGGACATGGAGCGGCGTCCCCCACGGTGGGGCGCTGGGCCCTCTAGGGGTGGGAGTTCCTGATGGTGACAACAAAGGGAAGGCTTCCGTGGGCAGGAGCGGTGTTCCGCAGTGTGTCCATAACACACTAATTACACTTGGTGCCAAGCTGGCAAAGTGCGATTTGGTTCTTAAAGGAAACACACCCTTACATGCGTGTTAAATAATAAAAATCACTTCTTAACTGAAGGGAATGATAATCACTTCACTGGGAAAAAAAATCTGTTTAGTCTTTATTATAACATTAAGCAAATTAAACATCAGCATAATCCAGGTGATACTAGAAAAGGGTCATCAGAGAAATTAACTTTGTTGTTCATTAATTTACATGGATTAGTAGAGGGCAAAAAGATAGCAAATGTGCTCCAGTTTTTTATGATATAATTTCAAACTGTACACCATTTGTGGCAGGAGGGTGACTTTGGGGTTAATCAGACTGATTTGTCCTTTTAATTGCTTTCTATTCAAAGAAAATTCATTAGATAATGTTCTCTTCAAAATTCATGAATCAATTTAACTGAAGAAACCACATTAACAGCTTTGGGTTCATTAGCACATGCAGTTGTGTTACTGGCTGATTGCTGGGAGGGTTTCCTTAGGCAAACAGACTCTGTTTACTGTGATTTCTTCAGAAAGGGTCTTGAAATCAAACTGTTAATTATTATTATTGTTGCTGTTGTTATGCTCAACTTTAAAAAAGAAAAAAGGGGGGAGAAAAAAGAAAAGCGAGGCAGCCTGGCGGTAACTTGGAGAAAAGTCTCAGGGACAGCTGTCTTGGAAAAGAAACAATAAAAGCCGCACGTCGATACTGCAAGAAGCAGAGGCCAATTTCCTGCCTTCCTCGGAGAGCACCAAGTTGTTGGTTTTTGTTTTCCGTGTTTTGACCTGGGGAGAGGATGCTGCCTAGGTTTTCCAGGAGTACAGCCTGGAACTTTACTAAAGCTGTAGGAATACAATGAGAGGCGTGTGTGCAAACTGAACTGAAGCATAGAACAGTTCCGAGAAACCATGGCACCTCTCCAGCCCCTGCATCTGAGTGCCAGCCTTGAGTGCTGCTCTGACGAATTACGGCCAAATTACAGAGTACCGTTCTTTCCAAGTGTAAAAGTGCCATATAATAAAACAATTATACGTCCATATACGAGCACAGAGTTTATCAAAAATTTTCAGCTTCACTGTCAATTTTTCATGGAAACCGTTTCTCACTCTGTACGTACTAGGCAATATATTAGGAAAAATAGCTCAAAGAAGGCCATATTTAGCAATCAAGCACATCATTTTATAAATGTATCTGAAAACTCAATTTCACCCTGTAGGCAGCAAATGCATTAATTAGTTTGAGCAGCTCTCAGAGACAGTGCCTTTGACCCTAACCTCCGCAAAATCAGATGCTGAAACCACACCCGTTTTTGAGCAGGGGGCTGACACTTTCAGTTGTTAGATATCATTCTGAAATGTAGTAAAACCTGCCCATAAAAATTCACACACATTGATGTGGAAAATAATATTTTCTTGAGGTTGATGTGACCACATAAGTCCTTAGTGGCTGGACCATCATTTCGGGTGGCCCAAAGGGGCAACCATTAGAATGTCATCCTTTTCTCTCCCATCATGGTCCTCCCCAGAGAGCAGGCCGCGACCTCAGGGCTGTGTAGAGCGGATCCAGCCACATTCTGGATCTTCCTTTCCTACATGTCTCCTCCTCCTGCTCTCCTTCCTCCTCGTCCTTTCTCCTGCCTGTGCTGGGGTCTGGGTACCGCCGGCAGTGCTTACGTTGTGGGGTCAAGGTAGGCTGTGCTGGAGGCTGACCCGCTTCTTAGGGCTCCCTTACCTTAAGGACATGGCCATTTTCATTTTGGCTTGGGTGGCTACTTAAACATACCCACGGTGACTGCCTAACCCGACCAAGATTGTTTTCTAAATTCTCTACTGGATTGTATGCCATCAGCCAGGAGGCGATGACATGTTTTCCACGCTGGCCGTGGGGAGACTTGTTCTATGTCATGGACACCAGGTTTTTACGTGAGCTCTCTTCATGTCATGTGGGGAGCGGAGATCAGGGCAGCCTGCACGCGTGCACTTGGGCTGACACAGCCACGTGCAGCTCTGACAAGGGAGGCCTATGCAGACACCACATCCAGGAGCGGGGCAGGAGGAACCGGCCAGGGGCCGAGGCAGACACCAGGCTCCAGTCTCCTGGATGAGTTGCTTCCTTCCCCGGGCCTCCGTCTCCTCCCTCATCATGAGAGCTCTCTGGACAGCCATGTCCTGTGCCCCACCGCCCACTGCCGGGCTCGGAGTCCAGCTAGCTGAAGGCAAGCCTGGGCCTAGAAGCCAGTTCTGTTCCTGACTCAGGCTCAGACTGAATCACCTCTTCCCCTGTGAGGGAGAGCACTGTACTTTCGAGTTCTTGGGGTAGAGTCATTCTTTCAGGGTGATCTTTGTTGTGGGGTGCGGTTTCCTAAGGAGGGGCTGTCCTTTAGCTGCCCAGGACCTGGGGCTCTCCACCACCAGGCTGCAGTGAGCAGAGACACTCAGTTGCAGATGCACAATGTTCCTGGAGCCCACAGGCTGGCTGCCCTCTGGGCCCTGCCGAGGAAGCGTCTTGGTAGCTGTCCTGGGGGCAGGAGGGGCACTGCCAGCAACAGCCGCAGACTTGGTCTGCCCCATCCCTGGGCACAGAGAGCAGCGCCCGAGCTCCTGCAGGATTTCCCACCATAGCGCCAAATGGCCTGGTACCCACGGCACGGGTCACGGCTATTTGACAGGTTTCCAACTTTCCGAGGGCTTCCCATTTCCAGGACTTGCCTTCTCTTGTCTCTGGCACAGAGGGAGTGCCCAGGGGCATGAGGGAATTCAAGATAACCTGGGAGTGGGAAGCCAGGTTTCTGATCTGATGACTCTAGAGGCGTTTTGACACCATGTGCTCTTCAAGTGTAAACAGAGTTGACTTGACCTGATGCTGCCTCACCATCAAAGCAGCCAGAATAAACTTTCCAGGAACGAACCTGGGAGGAAAAAACACAAAGATGGAAGGAAACAGGGGTTCCAGTTCCAGGTAAAATGGAGTAAGCACACTCCACCTGGTCTCCTCCTGAATGCCTTCAGAAAACCTAGGAGGAATGCAGAAAGCAGCTACCTGAGGGCTGTGAAAAGTCAATATTGGCAAGTAGATTGGGGAAGAAGACAAGAATTTGAAGAAACACTGAAACGATGGATGAGTCTACCATTTGTTCCCTCTGTTTTCCCCAGCCTGGACTTACTGCAGCCTGAACCCTGGAGGTGGCTCTGGTGCAGACAGAGTCTAGGAGCTCTCATCCACCTGGAGGAGGGAGAAGGATCTCCTGATGTTCAGAGAGAGTGAGGAATCACCCCTTTTTGGTATTATCTCCAAACTCTTGTACCTCAGCCCCCAAGTAAGCCTGTCATGGTGGAGGTGACACGGTGGGGGGCTGGCAGAAGCCTAAAGCTCTGAGAAGGATGTCCCCTTCTGATGGGAGGAGCTGTGGTCCCCAAAGGTGGGCAGACCCCTGTTACTTTTTCCCTGTTTGTCGTCCTGCTGCTCCACCCCAGATGCAGGTACAGTCACTAGAAGCATGTACCAGAGTGGGGTAAGTAAAGCCACAGCTTCCTGACCAGGGCACCAAAAAGGGGATCCCTGAGAACTGGAAAGTCCCTGGGAGACTGTGGAGAAAGAGCAGTTTGGAAAAGCACACCAACAAGTTGTTTATAAATTCCTGGACTCACCCCTGAGCTGTGTGGATCTGACCCGGAACCAAAGACTCTGAGAACCAACGTAAGGGTTAGACCACCGTCAGGTTCCAGACTGGCCACAGAGTGATACACAGGAGGACAGATCTGAAAGGACTGCAGAGGTGTGAAAATGGAACTGACACTGAAGCCAGAACCCACAGAAGCCTGGTTGGAACTCATGCACTGAACCCCACCAGGCTGAGTGCCCCTAAAACAAAAATGTCGGCTATAATCCAAAATTACTTAGTATACAACGAGTCAGGAAAACCTCAACTTGCTTGGGAAAAGATAACCAACAAATGCCAAGGCTGAGATGACAGAAGTTGGAATCACCTGACCATTTTGCCCCAGCTTACTCAAGTATAATTGACAAAGAAGACTGCAAGATATTTAAAGAGTATAATGTGATGATTTAATATACATC